CTGCGTTCATACTTCTTGTTGGCATATCTAACGTTTCAGGCGAAAAGAAAAGTACAGTGCAAGATCTAGCGTTAAGAGCGGCTTGGAGAAACGGTAGCGTTTTGAAAGGAAAGGGAACTATGTATCATCTAGTGTTTTGGAAATTCTGACCTTTCCGAGATTTCGAGCGCCCTAGAGTAGCGATCGATACCTAAAACATTCTCTTTACACAGAACGGTGGCGTTTCTCTCGAAACGCTCAAAACTTTAGATCGACACCTGATCCCTCTCTTACGACCAAGAACGCTTAGAACGCTGGCGTTTCTCCTAATATGCCAGATCGATACCTGTGCTTTCCTTTTCGCCTAAATCGCTGACCAAAAGTGCGAACACTGTAGCCAAAAATGGCAGTTATCAAAACAAGCACTGAAGTTTGTGTCAGAAATGGTATCCATGAAATCAAACGTTATTTATTGAGGAACAAGAGCGACTCGAGCCTTGGAATGTGGACACCATCGGACATGAGGCGTTCAGTTACTCGCGCATTAACAAAGTTGGTGAAAAGAAACCTCCACCAAAGCTATCCGATGAAGAGGACTCGAAAAGAATGGTGAGTCAGTTTTGAAAGATTCCGCTCTTTAGTTTCATCTATTGGAGAACTTGCACCATTGCTCGTCGTGTAATCTTTCTCGGTGCTAAAGTTGCTAGGGGAGGGCAGATTTCGTATCTGTTGGTTTCTAGTCGTCTGTGCTTTTCCGCCGAGATAGGTGTCCGCCCATTAGTCTCCAGCCTCAAAGAGCGGAGACAAGCAGAGTGCTCTAGAATGCGTTTATATCGTGCGTCGCCGTTTTGGACTTTCGCGAGCATCAACTTTTCAACGGTTTTCGCGAAAAAGAAAGCATAGGTACCGTTTTAGCGTTCTGGGATGAATCCTAACGTTTTGCGAAAATGATAGTATTGATTGGCGCTTGGAACGCCCGATTCCCTCAATAACCCAGTTCTTCCAAAACGCCTATTTTCTCGAAACGCTAGATTGATACCTATGTTTTCCTTTCGCTCGAAACGCCTAGGCAAAGTATGAACGGCTTTGGTTTCACCCACGGCTCACCCTCCCACTTCACTA